CACCCGTCCCCTGCGGGGCTGCCTACTCGAGGAACCTGACTTCCCGGTGTGTTTTCCCTGTTCTCCTGGGGAGTCATTCTCTCTTTCGTTATGATGCATGTATATTCCTCTGCAATTCCTCTCTCTGCTACTTCGGTGAGGGGGCTTCTCTGACAGTACTGGGGTTCACTGTGAGCTTTGGGGTCTCATCTGACAATGGCTGTTTCATTGAATCCGCGCCCCACCATGTGTGTCAGCCACACACAGAACTCTCTCAGACAGCTGGAGAGTTTTATTCTTCACACACATTTATCTAAGGAATCCAATGCATGGCTTTAAATATTCTTTGGCTAAATGACCGACTCTAAAAATTTCACTAACTTGGCTGAGCAAGGATGTATATATTTGTGAAATAAATAAATAAGGAAAACTTTAGAACATGACCGGAAAATTAGGCAAAGGACACAGAAAGACTCTTGGCCCAAAGCCAAAAAGATGAAAAGTTTAAACAGGTAAGGAAAAGTGTTCAACCTAACTAGTAATTTTAAAATTCAAGTTGAATGCCTTCAGCTTATCAAGTTAGCAGAGAAATTAACAGAAAATGTAAATGCAAAGAGCCAATGGTAAGGCATTCTCAAGCATTGATCTGGGTAGATAAATTGTTACAACCTTTTTGAAAAGCAAACAGATAATATGAAGCAAATGTCATTTGATCCGGCAAATAGGCTTCAGGAGCTAGAAACTAAGAAAATAATCTGTTACATCAAAACAAGGTTTCTGATGTTAATCACAGCGTGATTTGTAATAAGCAAATGTTAGGAAAAAAAAACTAAATGTTGAGCTGAAATAGGGTCCTTAAGGTGACTGACATTCACCAAGAATGAAAGAGAAAATGTTTAATGATAATGAAAGCATAAGAAATAAAATGGAATGTGTATACACAAATATGTTTATTAAGCAAAAGAAACATTACACAGACAAAAACATGATTTTCTTCTGTTCATCTCGGGGTAAATTTTTCTTCCTTCCACAATTGTATATTTCCAAATACTCTATAATGACAGCATATAGTATTAGCTTCTTAAATTAAAAGAAAAGAAGTTTTTCAAAATTTCTTTCATGGTTTTCGATGCCATGTTCTGTCCCAGTTTTGTTTTGTTTTCTTTTTTCCTAACTCAGAGAGTAGAGATCACGGTTCTGATTCCCCTTTTCTCCAGATTAATCCAGGATGAGCACACATGGTTGACGTGGAAACCCACCTTGGCTGGAGCAGGTGTTCACGGGTCTGGGCACAACCAGGATGCTTCCTCTCCAGGTAGAGTCTTCAACTACCTGTTCTGGGAGGGGCTCGATCACTCTGCAAAGCTCACCTCCTCTTCCTGACCCAGTGAGCGTCCAGGAGAGAGAAGAGAAGAATCAGCAGCCCTCAGGCTGGAGGGAGCTGAGCGTCTTTGAGGAAGGAAGAGCTCAGTGGTTAGGACACTGAAGTGGATTGGGATCAAGGAGATCAAGGAGGCAGGAGGTCCAAGGTCTCCTGTGACCTCTTAGGTCCTGGCAGGAGTTTGGAGTCTATCCCAAAAGCAGTTAACAGCCTCCGAAGGGCATTAGCCAGCAAGTCATATGATCTGGGGGTAACGTGCACAGCCGCTCACTCCCTGTCCGTGGTGATGGCTCTAGAGCTGGTGATGGTCCAGAGCTGAGGTCCCAGAGATCAGCAGGATTATGGCACCTCCCTTTCAGATTTGTAGAGAATGGGTAAATGCGGACAGAATTTGAAGGTGGGAAGACCTGTGGTCCCATACATGCTAGGACCTAGGTGGACCTGACCTCCCAGACAAGCCAGGAAGAAAGGCCCAGGGCACCCGGTGTGGGGAGCAGCTGGGAACCCATGGGACCCACAACCTCAAGACCACCGGACTGCCCTCCCACAGAATGCTGGCTAAAGGGCTGGGTGAGAGGCAATTGGGATCTTGCTCAAGAAAGAGGGTCCACCTAATTTGGGGCCCCAGGGAAAAGAGTGCTGACTTAGGGCTGGCCACTTGCTCTGTCCCGCAGCCCCCACTTTGAGGCCCTCCTCTGCCCCAGAGACTGGAAGCCTGGCCTGAGGAGGGGTGAATAAGAGATCTGGAATGGAAGAGAAGTTAGGAAGCAAGGGGCTCCGGGGAAGCCTGGCACCATGACCCCTTCCTGCAACCTTGGGAGTCACACATGGGCTTGGAGCATCTACCGAGGGTGTTTCCCAGAGTGCCAGAGTGGGACTCAACCCAGACTGACCACACTTGTGGGGGCATAGCCTGCCCAGGAGGGGAGCCTGGATGTCCCTGCCCCTCGCCTCCCTCCCTCCACCTTCTCTATTGGACGACATGTCAGGGATTACAGAATATAGTATTTACTGGAACACAGATGAGCAAAACAATGTATATGTTTCAAAGTTGATAAATATTTTTAAACATATGCTCCATTTATTGGAAATACGCTCTTCAATCAGGGGATGGGCACAGAGTTGAAGGGAATTTTTGAATGGTCCCTTCTTGGGTGCCTGGGACAATTACCCAAGTAAATTTCAGGCACGTGAAAGTGACAAGGGGGATGCGCAGGGCCAGGGAGAGGGGGCACTGGGGCAGGGAACCCCCTAGAGACACTTTCCTGGCCTGAATGATTTGGACAGAAGTGTGTGAGGGCTCTAAAGACTTGGAAATTGATTCTCTGAAAACTCTTCAGGCCAAAGCCCTTTCCCGCCATCCTGGTGACTGTTGCTCTAACAGGGTCCCCATTCTACATGCTATTCGAGACTCCGATGGTGTTGGAGTGAAGCTTGGGGTCCAGGTGCCAACCCTGCCAGTGGGGCATGGGATTCTTCTCGCAGGACCGAGATCTGTGTTTTTCAATGAAGTCTTAGGTGGTGGGCCAAGCTTTGAAGCCAGCAGAAAGCTCCCCCGCTAATGTTTGCCATCCAACAGTCTAAAGAGGGCAGTGCGGCCCGCCAAGACCCACCACTTTGCCAACAACCCCATGAGTCTTCCTGCAACTCCTGCTCTGTCTAGAGAACCAGCTCCATGTACTGGGGCGTGTTTGTAAGATTATTTGACAGGAAGTCTAGCACCTCCCAGTTCTAATTAGGCTGCCCCAGGAAGGTCACAGAGCCCTCCCTGATAACAAGCAGTAATTAGAGTGACAAAAGTAGCATTTTATGGGGTTGTTCAGAGATGAGCTTTCCGCGGTGGTGGAAAGGCGGGGGATGGAAATTAATCCTCTGAAGAAGGTTAATAGCATCCACGCATTTAAATTACCTACATCGCCTTGTCACAGACAATTAGGAGTTGGAGGTCCTATGCGTGCACACTTCACTCCGAGGAGCTTTTCCATATTCCTGAAGGCGCTCTGTCTCTGAGTTTCCACTCAGGAGCAGAAAGGTTCAAACGTCATTCGTCCATTCATTTCAAAGCAACAATGAAATGTCTCGTATGAACATAAAATCATATTTTTATGAGATACATCTACTTTTCTTAAGATACTGAGACGAAGAGGAATATTTTCTGTTTTTGCAAAAATCTGTAATACCTCAAAGAGTAAGGCAGCTGGTTTTTTACATCGGCTTCTGCGTTCAGGAAACTCCACCCTACTGAAAAAAAGAGCCTAAAAAGGACAAAGGTCTGGTGTTCTTACGAACATGGTTTTGATCCCAAGGACCCCCCCGACCCCCGCCATGATCTCAGACTTCCTCAGGGGTCCCCAGTCCACGCTACGAGAAAGGCAGCTGCTGACCAAGGAAAGCCAAGCTCTGTGGGTTGTAGGGTGAGCTGGTGGGGGGCGGGGAGGAGTGACAAGGAGGATAGGCATCAGCGAAGCATGTTCTGGCTCCATTCAGTTCACACCACCTTTTTCCACAGGAGCCTCCCCTTCCCCCCCAACCAGGCAAGTGGCTCTAGAAAGGAATCCTGCAGTTATTTTAGAAGCCATCCGTTCTGTATCACACAGGCTCTTTTAGTTGGAGATTGTTTTTTTTTTTTTTTTTTCTAATAGGAAATTACCGTAAAGCTAAATGCACAGTAACAGTAGTGATTACGGAAATCATGGCTTCTGGAGCCCAGTGCTCTGCAGCCATTCAAAAGAAAGTAAAGGGGGAGATGTCCCCAGTGGTAATATCCACAGGATTACTTAAGCAGAGAACACAAAGTATAGAACAATGTGCATATTATGATCTTTTTAGTGTGTTTTCGAAGGGGACTGATAACATGTATAACTGGGAAAAGACACTAGATATTGCTTATAATTGGTTATCTTTGAGGAGATATGGGAAGTTCTCATAATTTTTTAAAAGATTTTATTTATTTATTTGACAGAGATCACAAGTATGCAGAGAGGCAGGCAGAGAGAGAGGAGGAAGCAGGCTCCCCGCTGAGCAGGGAGCCCTATTCGGGGCTGGATCCCAGGAGCATGACCTGAGCGGAAGGCAGAGGCTCCACCCACTGAGCCACCCAGGCGCCCCAGTTCTCACAGTTTTTAAACCTTCCAGCAGTGAGTAACATACTGTGTACAACTGTGTTCGTCCGTACAGAAAAGGATGCAGGAGGGTTTCCCGGCAGTAAGACCATGTTCCATTTCCGCCGTTTTCACTCCGTCCCTGGTGGGAGCCCCGCGTCTTCCGCAGGTGCACAAGTAGCCCGCCGGCCGCTCTCCTGCCCCGCGGGGCCCGCGCCCTCCCCTCTGGCCCCGCCCTCGCCCCTCCCTCGCGCCTGCCCATTGGTCTACTGTCGCACCGCCCCGTCCAATCGTAGCGCTTAGCGCCAAATTCGAATGGTTGTTTTCATTTGAATCGGGAGGGCGCGGCGGGGGCTTTACGCGCGGAGCTGCTAACGCCAGGCGCCTCCCGGACGCGGCTGGGCTGGGCTACCTGGTCGCCGGCGAGGCGACGGCGGGGGGCGGTGAGGACTGCGCCGGAGCTGGCCGCGGGCAGTCCCCGTCCTTGGAGCCGGGGGCGGGCGGTGGACGCCGGCGGGCGAACCTCTGGCTTTTCCTGGTGAGGACTCGGGCTGCGTCTGGCGGAGCGGTGGGCCGGCTGGTGGCGGTGCGGGCGACGGGTCCTGGGTAAGCCGGCGTCGGGGCGCCTCGGCGGGCGAGGGCGGGCGGTGTGCTGGGGGCCCGGGCCGTGGGGACCCCCGGCTCTGCGGGAACCGCGCCTGCAACGCGGCCGGGGCCCTAGCGAGGCGGTCTCGGGAGCCTCGACCTTGATGGACGGCGTCCTGGCCGCGGGTCTTTGGGGGCTACTGGGTGTTGGGGGGCGCTCTGGGGTGCAACGCGGGGCCTGGCTGGGGCTCCCCCAGGGGGCCAAGTAGCGTGTCGGTCGGGGTGGCAGGAGCATGGCGAATTGTACAGGCTGGCCCATTTGGTCACCTACAAGTGAGTAGCTCTTTGTTTTTAGAGTAAACCCCCCCACCCCCTGCCCCACGTTTTGTTTTTGTTTTATTCAGGGACATGTTTCTGCAGGGAGTTTGCTTCAGCAAACCTTTTGATGCCTGACCTTCCTATCCGGATTATACTCAAAGTCTTGTTTAGAAAATGGGTCCCACGGGTCGCCTTGTGACCATCAAAAGGAGTGGGGTGGACGGCCCCCACTTCCCACTGAGCCTCAGCACCTGCTTGTTTGGAAGGTGAGCCCTGCGCAGGATGGGCAATTTAGTTTCGGAGACATTAACATCCTAATCATAGAGTAACACACCAGAAACGCCCTAGGACTGGTTCCCCCCGAATTTGCTGGGACTTTCCTACTTATTGTCAATGTAACATGGCTGTTTATTAGGAAATAGAATTTTGAAAACAATGTTTATATAGTTAGGTATTGTTTTTAATCGAACATGTTTTAAAATTGAGTTGATAAAATCCTTAAATGGAGGAAAATGTAGATAATTCTCAAATCCTGATTCTCTGTAGGCCTTCTTTAGATGACCAGTATGTTCAGCTGAAACCCCTCCAAACCTGGTGTACCTTGGCTGGGGGGGACACTACTGAGCAAAGGAGGGAAGGAGGCTCTGTATTTGACTTGTTGGTTTTTTGGAAAAATGAAAACAGAAGTCCTGCTAGTGCTTTAAGAACTTTCTTCTTCTTGCTGAACCCTAGGCTGAGAACCACGGGCCATTTATGTTTCCACATTGAGCCCAAGCATCTGTTAGACAGAGAGTGCCACTGATGGTAAATATTACGGTCCCTGTGTGACAGGCACACTCCTCCGGGTTTGTGACAAGCGATTTCTTATAAAATGATGATAAGTCACCCTCTCTGTGGAGCCCTGTGAGGTGGGGCCCCGACCATCTTCTACCCATACCCCGTCCCGCCCCCACCGTGTTCTGCCTCACCTCAGACCTTCCGAGCTCATGCTCATCGAGGTGCTTTTGGCCACTTTAAACTCTTATGACTGAAATGTTCTCTCTGTCTCCCTATGTGAGTGACTCCTTTCCAGCTTTCAGATATCCGTTTAAATGTTCCCCAAAGAGAACCCTTCACTGAACATAGCTCTGGTCTTTCCTAACACCACGCAGCGTGATCAGTCTTTGGCTGTGACTCCCACTACTAAGCTGGGCAAGCACAGGGACTGTGTCGTTCATAATTAGGCACGCAGTGCCTGGTGGGGGTCTGGCGAGAGAGAGGTGATCAGTGGCACTCTCTGTCTAACAGATGCGTGGGCTCAGTGTGGAAACATGAATGGCCCGTGGTTCTCAGCCCAGGGTTCATTTGCCCTGCAAGGAGACATCTGGCAAGGTCTGGAGACAATTTTCTATGTCACGGTGTGGGAGGTTGAAGCCAGCAGCATTAGTGAACAGGTCAGGGGTGCTGCTAAGGACCCTACAATGTACAGAACAGCCCACACTGGAAAGAATGTCAACGGTGCTCAGGTTAACAGCCACTGACCCATAGGGATTCTAGTTGGCAGTTTGCAGCCCCCCAAATTCTCAGTTCTAATGACATAGTCTCTCTTTCTCTCTCTTGCCGCAGTATTCTCTTATCTAAAAATCAAATTCTCTTTAGCTGGAAGTAGCTGTTCACTCTCCTTAGCTTCTTTTCTCTTCAAAGGAAAAAGAATAAACATTTTGGTGTCAAATGTCAGTAATTCTGGTGATTCTACAGTAGTGATTAAATATATTTTTATGTGGGATTTTATCATTTAAAACCCATTCAAAAGTGTCATATGACATAGGTAGAAAGAGATATTCTTTTTTTTTGCTTTGTTTGAGAAAAGTACTTCTTAAAAAAGGACGGCGGCAGAATACAGAGACCTCTGCACCAATTACTTGTTTTTTCTTATAGTGAAAGAACGTGTGGGATCCCAGGAGTTAGAGTGGTCCCTGGACAAATGAGCAGCATCTCTAAGTTATTCTAGGAACTAGAGCAACAAAACCCAAAGCCTAAATTTCCAATCAAGAAATTCTTCCCACAACTTAACTTTAGCTTGTCTCGTGGATTCCCACCCCCGTCCCCCTTTAGAGAAAAAGCATGACTTATTCCTGCCAACCAATGTCCCCACTACCAGAAACACCTTAGCACTTAAGTCCTGCGTCACATCTGTCTGCCTGCAAAGCTCACGGATGGAATGAGGCAAATACCCACAAAAACAAACACAGAAACCCGAGAACAAAACCTCAAACAAGAACAAAGTTTTGTCCGAAAGTGCCCGGGCTGGCAAGGTTAGGAGACCATGAGACATAAAACAACCGTGTATCCGAGGCCTGGTTAGTGTTACTCTGTGGGATAACCAGACAGCTTAGACAGACCTCTGTGGCTGACCCATTTCTCTGTAGGGACAGACAGACCTAACACTACTCTCTTCACGGCTACTGACAAACTGCTCTGTCCTTTACAACCTATTTGCCACATGACTGAAACCACTAAACCACGTTTTCCCACGAAGGTTAAGAACACCGTGCAGCCAGGCAGGGACAAGAAACTCAGCACACACTCACAAACTCACACTCACACAAACTGAGTCTGTCAGCCCTCGGGAGTCGACGTCCAGCTCTGCGATTATTTTATACCCCTGTAACTTTTATACACATTCTAGAAAGAGATAGTCCCAGCTGCAGAGCAGTGTATCGAGAACAGAGAGGAGAGTATATAACTGTTCAGACTTACAATAAAGGGAACCCCGGAGACCCAAAGAGACTTCACTAAGGACCATTTGGATTAGTTTGCATGTTGGTTTGGAAATTCCCCCTCTGGTGCTTCCTGCTGATGTTCTTTGTGTGGAAAGTGAAGTTGAATCTAATAATGCGTACTTGTTGATTGCATTCATATTTTTAATAATAGTTTTGTGAATCTGCCCGTTAATACAGCGTTGTTGTAAAGCAATGAAAAGTTCATGGGTCAATGGTATTGACAGTTTGCCAGGCAAAGGGCAGAAATGTATAATTCATTCATCGTTTGAACAACCCCGTGATATAGGTGCTGATGTGATTGTCTGTTTGTATGTGAAGAGACAGGTGTTAGCATAAAATACAGCACCTGTAGCGATGATGAAAACTTTGAACATACATAACGTTACAAAGGAACACACAGAAACCTTTCTTTATGGAAAAAAAGCACAGAGTATCAGAAATCGTTACAGTTCTCCGAACTGATGGAAAGTCCTCCCTTATTTGGGTATTATAAACACAGCCATTTCAGTGAAAGCAATCCAGTTTTTTATTCTAATATTTTCCATTATAATTGTTTTCAAGTACCCAAAGTCTTAAAGATTTAAAATAGTCGCTTACACAATATTTGTCAAAATTATTTGCCAAATGCACAGGTCATCACATCTCCTGACTGATTACCCCTTTCTGCCGTTTCATTTTTGGATCAAACATATGGTCAAATGCTGTTATATTTTGAAGCATTCATGGGATTTGTGTAAAAAAAAAAAAAAAAAAAAGGTTGCGGCAGCCTCAAACTCTCAATTTCTTCCCTCAAAGGGGTATTGAATGTGACATTCGAATCCAGCTCCCTGTGGTGTCAAAGCAGCACTGCAAAATTGAAGTCAGTGGGCAGGAGGTAAGTGGGTGTTTGAAGTCTGTTTTGATGTTTTGTTTTGTTTTTTCCCTTTTATTGCACTTTTTACCTAGTCATCGATTACTTAGTTTCCCCTTTCTTCTACTCTGTAGGCGATACTGTTTAATTTCAGTTCCACCAATCCGACCCAAGTGAACGGGTCTGTCATTGCGGAGCCCGTACACCTTAAGCACGGCGATGTGATCACTATTGTCGATCGATCTTTCAGGTAGGTGAAGGTGAATCTAGTCGCTCTCAGCGCTGATGTTCGGCAGACGTCTGTGACTTTTCTGTGCCGCGGATGACGTCAGAGCGTTTGGAGCGGCCGCTCTCCCCACTGGTTCTCAGTCTGCAGTCACGTGGGCATAGCGGGGATGACACGTGGGGCTCCTGTGACCCCCTTTGAGGATCCGAGCGCGTGCAGCTGGGCCAAAGACGGGTGACCAGGGCCCCCCGGGGTTTTATTTTTGGTGCAGGTGGGGTGAAGCCACATGCATTTTTCAGTTTCTGTTTCATTTTCAAGTTAAAAAACGGTCCTAGGGAAAAGACACAAGGCAAGCTGTCCAGCTCAGCTTATCATGACATGAGCTCCTGGGTGACTGTCACCTCTTGAGGGCTGAACTGTGCCCCATCAGTATCCTTATGTCGAGGTGTTCACCCCCGGCCAGCCAGAATATTACTGTATTGAAGACAGGGTCTTGAAAGAGGTGGTTGAGTTAAAAAGAGGCCATTAGCGTGGGTCCTAATCAATTTGACTGGTGTCCTTGTAAGAAGACGAGCTGAGGACACAGAAGAAGGGCAGCAGGTGCTCAGAGGGACGGCAGCATGAAGGCCGCAGGGACGGCCCTGGCCAGCCCAGGACAGAGGCCTCAGGGAGAGAACAGTCCCGCCGACACCTTGATCTCGGACTTCCAGCCTCCAGAACTGTGAGAGAATATGTTTCTGTGTTGAGGCCACCTGCGTGTGGCATTTTGGATGGCAGTCCTAGCAAACTAACACACCACTCAAGCTGTAGACAGAATATTTCCAGAACCTTCTTCTGGAAAGGTCTTCTAATCACTGCTTCTTTCCCTCACCAAGTAAACCACCCTAGTTGGCTTTTCTGATAACAAAATCTTTGGAGTAGTGCTACGGAAGCATGTGTCTCTAACCGTCTGGTTTCGTCTGTCTTTATTAAACTCTAAATTTGAAATAATGACGTATGTCCTTGCAGCTGACTTCTGCTCCATGCTTGGGAGAGCCAAGCACAGATGTCCGGTTTGTTCTTTCTTGCTGTCAGACTATTTCACCGAAATAAATCCCGGGTATATATACATAATTCGTTCATTCTGGACAGAAGTTTGGGAAATTTCCAGGTTTTGAAGTGAGTCAAGGGCTTGCTTTATGACCAGATGTGGTTAATTTTTTACTAATCTCTCCTGCATGTTTGAAAAGAATATGTGTCCGGTGGCTCCCATAGGTTGAAATCACACGTTGAGGATTTTTTCTTTCTTTCTGTTTTTTTAGTTCTTCTGTTTCTGCGTCTCTCCGTTGAGTGTTGAAACTTAGAATCCTGTCCTAGTGGGTGAAGCTCTGCGGCTTATCTTTCTGAGATACTCTGTACCTTCCCTCCTGCTTTTTTATCAGTAATCACATACTATCCTGGTTTCTGGCACTTGGCTTTCAACTTGTCATAATCCCTAAGGCTCAGGTTGTCTCTTACAACCAGCTCTTAGGTGCGCTTTTCTTTACAATTGGTTTATCTTCTGGATAGATGGATCCTTTCATCATTATAAAGGGTCCTTCATCCCCAGGAGCAATTTTTATCTTGAAGTCTCTTGTTGACGTTGGCGAATGCCCCCTCCAGAATGCCCCCTCCAGCTCGCTCAGGGTTGCTGATGGCTCCACGTGTCCCCTCCCATCCTCCACACTCATCCTGCAGGTGCCTTTGATTGTGCCTCAGATTCCTGGGAGGCAGCGTACACTGGGTCACGTTGGCCATCATGCCGCCAGATGGCACACTGACCTCCTTACTGCCTCCATTCGTCTTGAGCAGATATTTCCTATGTGTTCTGTTGGTCATCTTCTTCCCAGGGCTTCTTGTGAACTTGCCTTCCAGGAAACAGACTTCTAAGCAGGAAGCATTTGATGTGGAATGGAAACCAGGACTTCTTCCCCCAAATGAGATGCCATTCAGATTGGAGGTTAATTGAGATAATTAAATACCTCCAATACAAGAATGGGGAAGGAGGCTTGGGAAGAGGGACATGACCATGAACTCTGAGGCCATGAGAAGTAAGTCCAGACACCCGTCTGTTTCGGATCAGGCCAGCTTACAGAGGCCAAGTTCAGGATACCCACGGTTCTGTGAATTATGTCCGGGGTCTGGTCGAAGGACAGTGTATGCTGTTAAATCTGTCTCCATCTTCAGAAATGTGCCAGTCTTTGTTCAGATGCAGACGCGGTAGTCAGGAAACAGGAGGTCACAGCGTTCCTATACAGGGTGGCTCTGTGGTGACCTTGCAGTAAGGGTGACATCACCAAGTGCCTCAGGCCTCGGCTTCCCCGGTGACCTTCCAAGCCCTCAGATGATTGTGGATATAAACCCGTGGGAATCCAATCGGCTCTCCTGTGCAGGTTTTCACAGAGGAGGTGCTCTGATATTGTTGAAATCACACAGCTTGTCTGCGTTGAGAAGTTAATCTGGGTCCCCACCTCTGACAACACTGTTCCAAAAGAAATTTGAGGTGACCTGTCCAAGTCTTTAGTGTAAAATCTTTTCTAACTCCACCTCTATTTCCACAAATACAGTGAATCTCTTGAATAAAACCTCAAGTTTGTTCCTCGCTGCTTGGACGTGAATGAGATGAGGAGGTTTTCCATCAGTCACAGAGCTGGAGTCTGAATGTGTGTCTGTCCTTCTGTGCATTTCAGGTATGAAAATGAAAGTCAGCAGAATGGAAGCGGGTCAACGGAATGCCCGGGACAAAAACGCAAACAGGTGATGGGGGGTGCAGGGATGATCCAATTGTGGGCTCTGGTTCCTTTGCACGGTACTATGGAATCATTTATATGCACGCAGATGAGTGACATCTCACAAGGGAAGGTGGCTCGCCAGTTAAGAGAGGGACAGACACCTGAGATCTTAAACATACTGAAAAACTTACAACTATTTTTTTTTTTTTTCCTTCACAATGAGAGGACTGAGTCAGTCCTACACTTTGGCCTGAAGGCTCCTGGACTATCTCACGATATGATCTTCTTGCAAACCTTTGGCTAGGACAGCCCATCACATAGAGTTAAAATCTCGGACCTAGATCAGTGGCTCGTGTTGTCTCCCAGTTACTGTGTTCTTCCATCCTTCTGCATCTGAAATGATCACATCAGAGCTGTGAGTCCCAGAGATGCTTCCTGACTTTGATGGAGAGACAACCCTGCCGCCCGAGAGCGTCACTGTGCTGCATCAGTGCCAGAGAATCTTATCACCTGTGTCCATCCAAACAGTGTGGCTCTGTCAGGATGCAGTCCTGGGCCCATCCGCTGAGATTTAGGAAGCTTGCTGAAGCTGGCCACGCTGGTCTTCTGTGACCAGGTTGTAATTCACTGGCTTAAAAAATCCTATCAGATACTATGCCTGAAATTAGCAGATCAACCGAAGATCTCTGCCCCGGCTACATGCTGCTTCCTTCCTAGAGAAAGGACCCTCGTAGTGATCTTGCCCCTCATTGGCTTTGGGGGAAAGCTCGCTTTCGAGGTTCTCTAACCACTTTGTTGGTAGGTGTTAGGGAACCAAGCAAAAAGCTGGACTTGGAGTTAGAAGTGGTCTCAAAGGCCTACCAACTGCTGCTTGTCTGGCCGGTGATAAAGTCAGTGTTGAAACTGAATACTGAGAATGTGTTATCGCCGTTTGACGGTGACTTTTATGTCTGGAATATAATGGTACAAAAATGGGCTTATACGCTCATATTTTGTATATATATTTTAATTTTAATTCATTTTTATTGTTTGGTCCTAAGATCCGTGGCCAACTTCAAGTTGGAAATAAGAAACTGATCCCCCACTTGGCACGTTAGAGAAGCAATGTTTCAGACACCAAGAAATCTGAAATTGATTAGGGAGAAGTGAAATTATTTGCCTTTGGATATACCTTGTGACTTTTTTTCCCCATCGTAATTCAGATGAGATACTTTCCTCCTCTGAAGCAACACTGAACTTTTGTACCTTACGTCCTTGTTATTCTGTGGTTGTTCCTCGCCCCCTAAAAATCTTCTGACAGATTGTGAAGGCAGCTGTGGGGGCCAGGTAGGAGTGTTGGATCTGATTGCTGGGCTCAGAGGGCACGATGCCTGTGATGTGCCGGTTTCACTTTCTCCTAAACATCCGGGCCCTGGTGCACCTGCCGACCCGAGCCCCCAGGCCGAGCGGGGCCCCAGCTCACCGCAGGTCCTGCAGCCTCTTTCTGACAAACCTAAGTATTAAGTCGGTAATTCTGTGCCCTTGGTAGGTTCACAGACGCTGAACATAGGTGATGTTTAATTTTAGCCTCAGTTCTTTCATAGGGTGATGAGAAAGAAGTTTGAGGAAGTTAGCAAAGCTCAGCTGAGGTTCCATTGGAACAGTTTTGAGCTTCAAGTTTGTTTCTTATTCTATCATTATATTTTTTTACAATCAGCTAAGAAATACATGTATTATGAGCACTCACCCCTAAGTGTCTTTGGCTCCTTTCTCAAAGTCTCTAAAATTCCTACAAGAAGAGTTTGGTAAGAAAGGGCATCCAGAGCCAGAACATTTTCATAAACATGACTGTGGGTATTTGAACAAGCACCTAAATCACTGTTTCTATTTTTCCAATTCACAGGATTCTCTGCATCAGGTCTCAAGGTCTAGCTTCTCTTCTGACCCCGGTTAGTAGTTTTTGGTTTTATTCTGGGATCCTGCACGATCAGCTCTCTGTGTAGGGTTAGGGCAAGGAAGAGGTAATGAGAACACCAGCGTTCTACATCTAGGTTCACAGAAGTTAGGAGGTTGTGTTACGTAACACAACAGGCAGGCACCTGAGTTAATTTTTCCTCCCAGAGATGCATGGGGCACAATACTTATTAGAGCGTCCACGTGTAAACTGAACATGGGTGTCAGTTTCATCGAGTAGATAATAGCCGGTGACCCCTCATATTGACCCCTCGTACTGGTTACAGAAGGCCGATGTGATTTATTTGTCTGCATCATAATTCGAGGATCAGAATACTTCTATGATGCATTTTGGCAGTAAGTAGTTTGTGAGCTAAGTGAAAAACTAGATTGCAAGCCCGTTTGAAAAGGTTGTAAAATTTGAATACTGCACAGTGTTAATCACTGAGAAAAATCTTGAACTTTCTGTTTCTTATTTCATAACTCATTGCCAAGATGGGAAAGTTCAAGATTCCAATGCCCGTTCAAAACTCTGTGAAGAAAATGTTTCCGGAAGTCCGCTGATACACGTGAAGAATGGCAAAGCAGCCTCCTCAGATGGTCCCAAAGATCACGCTGCTAGAAAATCCCTTAATGCTGTCCATTCCTCAGAACTTCCTGGAGAGAACTTCAGAAACGCAATGGATCCTACAGCCGGGGATTTTAAGGAAGATTCCAGCGTTGTCTTAGTGAGCTGTCATGGAGAACTGAAGACTTTCCCCTCTGCATGGTGTCCTGAGAATAGTGAAAACCAGGAGTCTCCATTTAGGGAGCTTTACGAGTCAATGAAGGAAGAGTTTGACATGAAATCAGGAAAAGAAAATGTTCCACAGAGTGGGAAAAAGTCGGGGTCGCGGAATCATCGTGCATCAGAGAACGAATGTTCCGGTGAGCTACAAGATGGGACACAAGTCCTGGTCTCACTTAAATCCAGACCCAGGTCGGGTCGATTCACCCCAGTGAAGGCAGACCCTGCTTTGGGAGAACAAGGAATTAGCCAGACAGAGGACAGGAGAAAGGATGAGGAGGCCCTTCAGACTCCCAAGGAGACCACGGGTCCCAGCATACCTCCTAAGGAGATGACAAGAACCAAGACCCTGGTCCATCATTCTCCTCACAATTCCTCACGAAAACGTCGGAGTGAAGACCTGCGTGTTCCCAGCGGAAGTGAACCCGTGAATCTGGCTCAAAGGGAAAGCTTCGGGACAGATAACAAGACATTCACTCCTCGGAAGTTCTTAACCAGAAATCCAACACCCACTAAAGTTGAAAATGCTGTTAATTTTGGAGCAACACCAGAAAAACTCTTCTCCAAGAAGAGGGCGAGTGTTCCCTCCAGTGTGGACGTTCTTGCCACAGAACTGGAAACTCAGACTCACACTGTTTTAGCTCCACTGCCCGTTCAAGTTGAAAGGAAGATTCAGAGCATTTCCATGCACCAGCCTGAGAAAGTGGGCGCCACCGTCGGGCCTTCAAGCTCTGGGTTCCCGGGCCATAGTTCAGTTGATAGCAGCAGCTCTGGTGACTCCATTAGTAAGTTTACTTACCTGTGCATTCATTTTCCCCCACAGGCTCACACCTTCTTTGTATCTAGATAGGAAGTCACGAGACTTTCCTTCCCTCAGTAGCGATGGCTCTGGTGTAGGGGGAGGGTCCTGGAGGCGAGGCGGTCTACTCATGCGACAGCCATATGCACCGTCCACCCTGACAGCCGCGTCCTCACGTCCTGGAGTGTCGGTACCAGGGTCTCTGGGCGGAGTGCTGGTTGTCAGGGAGGAACACCGCCGGGGCCCTTAAGGGGGTCCAACACCATGTTGGGAGTCTCCTGGTGCACCTATGAGAAAATAGGAAGGAGGATAAACCCAATAAGCATAATGGCTTGCTTTTTTTTTTTAAGGTTTATTTTATTTTATTTATTTGAGAGAGAGAGAGCATGGGAGGGGAGAGGTCAGAGGGGGAAGCAGGCTCCCCACTGAGCAGGGAGCCCTATGCGGGACTAGATCTGGGGACTCGGGGATCATGACCTGAGCCGAAGGCAGAGGCTTAACCCACGGAGCCATGCAGGCGCCCAAGCGTAATGGCTTTTCACAAAAGTTGTAATTCTGAACCGTAAGCCGTTGTATCCTATGATACAACGTTGTATCCTATGATCCTATGAGTTTGCTTCCGTAAGTGAAGTCCAGGGAACTCAGTCCTTCGGAAATGTTTAAATATGGGGCGTCTCTCCGGTAATCATACTCTTCTCAGGGTCTCTTTCGAGCAGTTTTTCTGTTTTGTGTTTTGTGTTTTGTTTTTTATACAACTGGGGACTTTGCCCATGGGTTTATGCATCAGGAGCTGTTGTAGGTGTTTTTCGGACATTCACCCTGTTACTCCTTTGAGCAGGCCGCAGGAGTGCCCCCGGGACGGGCGTTCCTGTGATTTCTTTCTTGCAAATAGGGACACTGATAGCCTCATGTCACACAGCGAGTGGCAGAACTGTGACCTCTGGAGGAGGCTTGGCACGTCCCCTGGGCACCCTCCCACACTTCCCAGGGCTCTGAGCGTGTCCTGAAATAGCGAGCTTACTGTCGGGCTCCGTCTGCAGAGGGTCCCTTGGGCGAGGTGCTCGCCTCTCAGAAATGAGACCCATACGCATCTGTCACGATGTCCCCAGGGGTCTCCAAAGAGGCATCACCCAGACAAGGGATTTCTGTCACCTGCTGGTTCACCAGGATGTGCAGTGGGGTTGGGACTCATGATTTGCCGTTTTGAATCACCTGGAGAAGTTGTCAAGTTCATGACTTCTCACTAGGTTGGTCTGGATGAGCCCTGAGTCCATACGTGGTTTCGAAAAAACCTCAGGTCACTGTAGAAACGTCCATCTCTGTCATTGCCCAGTTCCAGCGTGGACGCCACCGGTCCGGATCCCTTTATCAATATACAGGATTTCTCACCCTTTTGTAGAAAGTCTTTGTCCTGTCCAGTTGGGACTTGACATCTTGTTGGGTTGTCCCTGGATCTTCCCTGAGCTCTTGAAGCACTCCAGGCCCTCAGCGTGACAAGGGGACGGCGTGAGGGGGTGTTGGGTGTCAGTGAACTTCACCAGAGGCTTGTCTTTAACAGGAGCCTGAAGCGAGTCTTTCATTCCTGTCCACATTCGTGTTTCCTTCTTTAGATAAGATTGAGGGAACGCCCCTGAAAAGAAGGCGGGTCTCCTTCGGCGGTCGTCTGAAGCCGGAGTTATTTGATGAGAACTTACCTCCTAATACACCTCTCAAGAGAGGAGAGACCCCGAGAAGGTCTCTTGTCAGCCACACTTCAGCTGTCCTGAAGAAAATCATCAAGGTATGTTGGGCAGACAGTCTTCTCACTCATGCCCGTAACACATCCTTTCCAAACTCCCCACCGCCAATACAGTTACTATGAAGACCTTTTTCTTTCTAATCAAAAAGTGAAAATAAAAAAATCAAAAGTTGAGCTCCTTCCCGGGGCTTCGACGTATGACTCTAAGGAGGTTGAACAGGGGCGAGTCCTGGGGTTGCCTTCTGCTGGGCCGTCCTGCCAGCCAGGCTTACGGTGTATCACACGGGGGGTTCAGGAAAACTAGCAATTACAGGGTCACCCTGGTGGCTCCATGGGTTAAATGTCTGCCTTCGACTCAGACCATGAGCTCAAGGTTGTGAGATCGAGCCCCGCGTCCAGCTCCACGCTCAGCTGGGGAGTCTGCTGAAGATTCTGTCTCTCCCTCTGTCCTTCCCCTCCGACTCTCTTTCTCTCTCTCAAAAATAAATAAATAATATCTTAAAAAAAAAAAACCCACTAGCAATTACAAAGAATCTGGAGACATCATGACACATAACCATAAGGCATTTTTGCTTTTCTTTTAGAATTATGAGGTGAAAAGGGAAATCTCGGAGGTCAACCACCTATGATTTTGACCATCAGCTGTGTAGAACTTTGAGTCAGCTACCCTAGGCTGTGTTGTCCTCCTGATTTTAGGCCTGTAGGGCCCCACGGCTCATCCCTGTCAGAGGGCCTGGTCTGTCTTTAATTTCTTTCATACCAAAAGGAGGGTAAGGTATGCCTGGCTCCTTTTCCATTTAATACTGGCTCCCAGAAATGAGCAGCCCTCCTTCCGTGTAGACCGAAGGGGATTAGACACCTACGGATGGTGCTTTTCTCCAGTTCAGATCAGAGCACGCTCATCCCCCAGGAGCTCCCCGGGAGGTTCCTTTCGCCTTTCTACCCGTAACACCCCAACTAAGACTTATCTGTTGTTTTATTCCTGTTTTATTTTTTCTAAAATGAGGGGGAAAGACTCCCATTTCTACCGGGCCCCTGACAGATAGTGGATGAAACACTTTGGTGTCTCAAGATTTAAACAACTGAAATTCTTATTTGAATAGGGTTCTCACGTTCCCTACAGAGATGTTATATCTGTGGTAAGGTTTCTTATGAACATTTAAATCTCGTCAGGAATACCCTCAACCATCAAGAAAAGAAGATTCTTCAGAAATCCGTTTGGAAGTTTGTGCACAAGACCAGCGTAAGGGATCTCCAGCTCGGAATCCGACGAGAACTTCTCCAGTGGCAAATGAGGCCCGCCGTAGGTCGAGCAAGGTACCCTCGGTCTCCAGGGGCAGCGCATCTCCTCATCCCACAGACACTCCCAAGAGGGGAGGCAGGAAGAGTGGCACCTTGCCTTCGAAGAGAGCTTCCATCGATCGGAGCCAACACGAGATCTTGCAGAGGATCTATTCCAGAAGAAGGAGCGGTGCTTCTGAAGCCAATTTAATCGGTGAGTGCTGGGTTGGCAGAGAAGGTCCTCAGGGTCGTTTCCTCAGCAATACGAGTTTGGAAATGTTTCAACACTTTCTCCTTCGTACAGTGGCAAAATCGTGGGCAGACGTCGTAAAACTCGGAGCCAAACAAACACAAGCTAAAGTGGTTAAACATGGCCCCCAGAGGCAGCCCAGCAAAAGGCACAAGAGAACGACCACTCCAAAGGTAGGGGGCGCCCTTTCCCCTCACACTCTTTGGTACGGTTCTGCGGTGTGTGCATTGACGCTTTGACATTTTGCTCATCTTGTTATCTTTTTTCCAGAAGCCTGTTAGCGATATTCACAGTCAATTCAGCACAGGCCATGCCAACTCTCCTTGTACCATAATAATAGGGAAAGCTCACATCGAGAAGGTACACGTGCCCGCTCGGCCCTACAGAATGCTCAACAACCTTGTGTTCAACAAGAAAATAGACTTTAATGAAGATCTTTCAGGTAAATTCCCCCTCCGTGGGAGGATGCGGATAGGGGTGCTACAGTTGTATTTACTGTGAGTGGGTTTGGGGAGGATAAACATTCTAGTCGACCTCCTGGGGTGGTGATGGGCACAAGAGAAGGCTGGATTTGGAGAACAAGAAGGGGTCCCCAATAATCAAAAGGCTCATGAGTCCTGCGGGGAGCAGGTGGGCATGGGAAATGGGTTGCAGCATGAGTGTGGAGAACTGGAAGCTGCTTTGTGCTGAAGAGAACAGGCTTGCCCTTAAAATTGTCCTTTCCCTGCATCTCTACTAACCGATCGCTCCAAAGTTAGAGCCACTGGTTTGGGCCACGTTTCTCTGCTTCATACTTTCCTTCCCTGGCATGAAGCTTAACTGTGTCTTGAAACAAAATCCTGTGAAAAGGTTTCCCTTAAGCAGCAGAAGTGGAATGGGACCTCCTTGTGGTTGTCCTAGGCTAGAACTAAGGCAAGAGCCCAGAGTTTGGGATTTCATGCCACACAGTTTGACCACTGGTTTCTGCCTTGCACATTTTTGGAGGGAGGTGACACTTGACTCCACCGCCCATTACAAGGTTCTTGTTTTTCTTTCCGGGCATATTTTAAGATGGAATCATTGTACTCCTCTGTAGAACCCAAACAAGGGACGCTGTGATTGCGGTCATAGTTGGATCAATGCATTTAGCTTTTAAAAAAACAAACCACAATAATGCAGAACAGTTGCCGGTTTTGATAACATGCTCAATGAGAAAAAGTTTCGAGTATATGCCCCCGATATGCAGACATACGCACATACGTGTGTCCTTATAAATTACGTACGAGTGTAACTAAAATCTGTGTCATGGAGCCTTGAAGATCAATTCTCAAAAATATTTTTAAGATCTAATGAATAGAAATTTATATACTCAGTACCCAGGACAGCGGATTTCCTCAACCTTCCTTCCACACACCTTCCTAGAAAGTCAAACGACTTCCACCCCTTGGTGTGAGTGACTTTCATGACAAAACACCGATCTGTGCTCTGGGGTATTTTACGGAAGGCAGAACTGGGGCAGAGGGCTGAGATTTTTAAGTGAACTGTCTGATCTGAGGGCCCTCAGAACAGGCTCCCCAAACACAATTTGCAAACACACCAGACAGAGCATTTCAACCCATTGATGGCGGAGTGAGAAAAGAGGAAATTCGAGTGAGTGTTTCAGAAAGATGAATCTTCCATCCGAAGAACTGTATGGTTCTTTTCTTCTAGTATGTCAATGCTACGTTTTGGTGTAAAATGAAAACATATTGTCACTTGACAATACTATTCGTGGACAGCCCCATGGACGTCATTTTTTAAAAGTTGGGGATGTTTTATTTGTGCATAAAACCCAGGCCTACATAAGTTAGGATTTTTCAAGGCAGCATGAGGACTCTAGTTTTCCAGATGTCGGGACAGGAGGCATGGGGATCCGGGCTCTGTCTCCAGCCGGTGCTCGGGATCAGGGCAACCGTCGAAGACTGTGCTGTCGACTGCCTTCATTAGATTTTCTCACCAAGAGGAAAGACAAAGAAGAGATACGATTCCAACATCTCATCGCTCTTCCTCAACGAAATGAGTTCATTATTAATGCATGACCCTGTCTCCCAAGAATTCTGGGGAGGGATTCCCTGTACGCGCTCTGCCACTTCCTCTGGTGGGTCTGAGGGCCGGCGTGGCTGATGGCACGGGGAACGATACGCTAATCGCTTCTCCAATATTCTCACATCACAGGGTTAACTGAAATGTTCAAGACTCCAGCCAAAGAGAAGCCACAAACAATGAGCCTATGTCCCAAGGCTTTTTCAAATTCAGAGGACTTCATCGGAAAGGAGTTTGAAGTACCCAATTCGGGAGAAAAACCTCCGCTGTGCACTTCAGTAAATTTTGGTTGGTTTACTGCTTTTCGGTTTTTTTTTTTTTTTCCCTTGCACTTTGATGTTTTCAGTAGGAATTAAAGATTTTTAAAGATTTTTTTTTTTTTTTTGTTTACAACAGATGCTGTATTACTTCTCTACAATAGATACTCCCAAAAAAATACCATTTGTAGCTTCTCAGTTCTGTCATGTTCAGGGGAAATTCCTATTAGCAATTGAACTAATGTTGGTATTTAGTGAGTGGCATAAAAAGGAATAATTTTAATAATTTTTAATAATTGTAATTGATAATTATATTAATAATTTTAATACAGTAGTATAACAATTATAAACAACCTGTGTATACTTCTGCCTTTTTTTTTTTTTTAAACATTTTTACTTATTTATTTATGTGACAGAGGGAGAGACAGCAAGAGAGGGAACACAAGCCAGGGGAATGGGAGAGGAAGAAGCAGGCTTCCGGCAGAGCAGGGAGCCCGATGCAGGGCTTCATCCCAGGACCCTGGGATCATAATCTGAGCTGAAGGCAGACGCTTGACTGAGCCCCCAGGCACCCCAGCTTCTGCCTTCTTTTAATTTAAAGAGGTTGAGCAGCACAGAAGTAGAATGATGTCTCATCACAGTTACGTCAATTTCTCAAACTCAAAATAAGTGTAAATAACGAAAGGGAAAGAGAATGTGCTCACTGTGTGATTATCACTGCTGCTGTTCTCGGTGGCCCATGTGGTGCTGTGAGCCCCTGGTGGGAGAAATAAGCCCATCTTGTGCTCTCAACTGAAAACCGGGTATACTGGGCACCCACCGCCTGTGGGAGAGGGAACAGCTCACCTTAATGGTACCTCCCCCACTGAGAAGCAGGTGTTTCCTGTGCAGTGTGGACCCCAAGCCCACTGAACGGAAGCCATGTTATGGCGTCAGGTGACATAGCTGTTTGCTTCTCATGTTTGAGGAAAAGAATGACCGTGTTCCGGTGCCCAAGATGCGGTGCAGTGCCCTACAGGAGACCCTTCTTAAGGATTTTTTTCCTTATATCTGATCCCTGTAGAATTATCACCTCAGTACGACCCCACTGTTGGTCACCAGATAACATTGTTATGATAAACATAAAATACCAGATCGGCACAATGTGGGGAAGAGAATCTATTTCTCATGTGTGTTTTTGTTTCCTATAGGAGAAAATGTATTCCACATGACTCAGAGTAAACTGCAAGAGCCATCCGATCACAGTCCTGCCAGCCCTGCCCTCAGAAGACCGGCTATTAGAGTAAACACAAACATTAAGAAGACTCCAGGGTCAGAGGCAGAGCCTCTGAAGGTGACGTCAAGTGCAAACAGGTTTCGAAGGTCCACGGAGCTCGGAAACACACAGATGCCAGGTTCAGGGCACAGCGACGAAGAAGCAAACACAGACACTGCTGAGAACATGTCAGGGCGACGTCTGAGGAAAACTCCACAGCGAGGACAGAAACCAGAGGGAGCGACTGAGGAACGAGAGAGCTGTTTTGACACATGTGAGAAAGCTATCAAATCAGAAGGTAGTTCTGAAAAGATGGTGGCTATGAGGAGATCGAGAAGATATTCAGAGCAAAGATGGGATCCAATAGCCAACCTGACCACCCTCAAGAAACAGCAGGACACAGAACCCAAGGAAGACCTGGGGGGCATCCAAAATCTCCCCCAAACCCCCACTCATGCCCAGGAACCAATGGACGTGGGAAACAAAACCACAGAAAAGTGCAAGAAATCTTCAAAACTAGAACTAGTTGGCGTGCAAGCCAGGATGAACATAGAGCTGAAGACCCCTCCCCAGAAAGTGGACCTAGAGGAAGAGCCCTCAGCTCTCAGGAAGTCCATGCAAATGCCAGGGGAAAACATCCCTGTGCCCGGAGAACCAGAAGATGGTGATGAAGACATCAAATTGTTTAACAGAACCCCAAAGCAGGAAGTGCACTCTGCAGAAAATGTCACTGGAAGCAAGAGGCGGTCACGAACCTCCAAGAGAGATGCCCCGTCCTTAGAAGACCTGGCTGGCCTCAGGGAGCTCTTCCAAACTCCAAACCACACAGAAAAACCAAGGACTGACAGCAAAACCACCAAAGTCCCCTGCAAATCTCCACTAGCAGATCCAGTCAACACACCAACAAGTAGAAAGAGGCAGCTCGAGACCCCTCCCAAGAAAGTGGACCTAGAGAAGGAGCCCTCAGCTCTCAGGAGGCCCACCCGAACACCAAGGAAAGCCATGCCCTCACACAGAGAACCAGGAGGTGCTGATGAAGACATCCGCTTGTTCAAGGAAACTCTGAAGCAGAAAATGACCCCTGCAGAAAATGTCACTGGAAGCAAGAGGCGGTCAAGAACACCCAAGAAAATGGTCCATTCCTTAGAAGAACTGGCGGGCCTCAAAGAGCTCTTCCAAACCCCAGAGCACACCCAGGACCCAGTGACTGATGACAGAACCACCACACTCCCCTGCAAATTGCCACTAGCAGATCGAGTCAACACACCAACAAGTAGAAGAAGGCAGCTCAAGACCCCTCCCCAGAAAGTGGACATAGAGGAAGAGCCCTCAGCTCTCAGGAAGTCCACCCAAATGTCAGGGGAAAGTGTGCCCTTATACAAAGAACCAGGAGATGGTGATGAAGACGTCAGATTGTTTAAGAGAAGTCCAAAGCAGAAAGTGCACTCCTCAGAAAATGTAACTGGGAGCAAGAGGCGGTCAAGAACACCCAAGAAAATGGTCCAGTCCTTAGAAGACCTGGCTGGCCTCAGAGAGCTCTTCCAAACACCAAACCACACAGATAAACCAATGACTAATGACAAAACCACCAAAGTCCCCTGCAAATCTCCACTAGCAGATCCAGTCAACACACTAACAAGTAAAAGGAGGCAGCTCAAGACCCCTCCCCTGAAAGGAGACCTAGAGAAAGATCTCAGGAAGCCCACCCAGACACCTGGGGAAAGCACACACTCACACGGAGAACCAGGAAGTGGTGATGAAGACATCAAATTGTTCAAGGAAACCCCAAAGCAGAAGATGACCCCTGCAGAAAACGTAACTGGCAGCAAGAGGCGGTCGAGAACACCCAAGAGAAATGCCCCGTCGTTAGAAGACCTGGCTGGTCTCAGGGAGCTCTTCCAAACACCAAACCACACAGATAAACCAATGGCTGATGACAAAACCACCACAGTCCCCGGCAAATCTCCACTAGCAGAACCAGTCAGCACACCAACAAGTAGGAGGCGTCAGTTCGAGACCCCTCCCCAGAAAGTGGACCTAGAAAAGGAGCCCTCAGCTCTCAGCATGCCCACCCGAGCGCCAGGGGAAAGCATTCCTTCACACGGAGAACCAGGAGGCGGTGATGAAGACATCAAACTGCTTAACAGAACCCCGAAGCAGGAAGTGCACTCTGCAGAAAATGTCACTGGAAGCAAGAGGCAGTCACGAACCTCCAAGAGAGATGCCCCGTCCTTAGAAGACCTGGCTGGCCTCAGGGAGCTCTTCCAAACTCCAAACCACACAGAAAAACTAATGGCTGATGACAACACCACCACAGTCCCCCGCAAATCTCCACTAGCAGATCCAGTCAGCACACCAATGAGCAAAAGGAGGCGGCTCAGGACCCTTCCCCAGAAAGTGGATCTAGAGGAAGAGCCCTCAGCTCTCAGGAAGTCCACCCGAACTCTAGGGGAAAGTGGGCCCTCACACAGAGAACCAGGAGGTGGTGATGAAGACATCAGGTTGTCTAAGGAAACTCCAAGGAAGAAGCTAGACCGCGTAGAAAACGTAAGCAGAAGCAAGAAGGGGATAAGAACGGGTAAGGAAAAGGCCCAATTCCTAGAAGACCTGGTCGGTTTTAAAGAGCTCTTCCAAACCCCAGAGCACACCCGGGAACCAACAGCTCTTGTCAAAAGCACAGTAACGCCGGGCAGATCTCCTCTGGCAGAAACGGTCAACACAGCACCCCAGAGGAAGACGTGTCGGAAGATGCCTCAGGGGACGGCGGACTCCGAGAGAGAGCTCGCACCTCTCGGGGAGCCCATCCAAACGCCAGCGGAAGCCACACGCGCACACGGAGAGCCGGGAGGCGGTGAAGAAGTCATCCGCTTCTTCAAGGAAACCCCAAAGCAGAAGATGAACCCTGCCGAAAATGTCACCGGAAGCAAGAGGCGGTCCAGAACACCCAAGAGAAATGCCCCGTCCTTAGAAGACCTGGCTGGCCTCAGGGAGCTCTTCCGAAGCCCAGAGCGCCCCAAGCACCCAGTGACTGACGACAAAACCACAGTCCCCTGCAAGTCGCCACTAGCAGACCCAGTCCACAAGCCAATGAGTAGAAGGAGGCGACTCAAGACCTCTCCCCAGAAAGTGGACATAAAGCAAGAGCCGTCAGCTCCCAGGAAGTCCACCCGAACGCGGGGGGCAAAGGCGCACTCGGGCAGAGAAGCGGGAGGCCCTGCGGAAGACATCGAGCTGCTGGGTGAGACTGTGAAGCGGGAAGCGCGTTCTGCAGAGAATGGAGCCGGAAGCAAGAGGGGGTCAAGAACACGCAAGGGAAATGCCCCGTCCTTAGACCTGGCCGGCCGCAGGGAGCTCTCCCAAACCCCAGAGCACACCCAGGACCCAGTGACTGACGACCCAACCGCCACAGTCTCTGGCAAATCGCCACTAGCAGATCCAGTCCACAGGCCAGCAAGTAGAAGGAGGCAAGTCAAGACCCTTCCCCGGCAGGCAGGCGTGGGGCGAGAGCCGTCAGCTCTGCGGATGTCCCCCCGACGGCGGCGGCCAAGTGCGGTCTCCGGCCGAGAACCCGCCGGTCGCGACGGAGACGTCAGATGCGTGAATGACACCGCAGAGCAGACCCTGAGCCCTGCAGCGAACGGAACGCTCCGGAAAAGTCGGCTAAGAGCACCTAAGGAGAAGGCCCCGCCCCTGGAAGACCTGGCCAGTTCCCCGGAGCCATCCCCGCTGCCGGATCCCAGCGAGGAAGCGGGAGAGGACGCAGGTGGCGGTAGGGCCGCTCCCGTGCACCCTCCGGGCGGGAGGAAAGCTGTGAGCGTTCCTCAGAGAAGCCTCAGGTTCCGTCGGGCCACAGCGGAGGAAGACCCGGGGCACGGGAGAGAGCCGGTCGGGTCTGGGAGGGAAGGCGGCGCTTCCCTGCCCTCCAAGAGGGAAGGAGGAACCAAGGAAGCTTCGACGGGAACAAAGAGGCTGCGCTCTGCGACCCCTGCCCAGGACGCGACGGAGGAGAAGCCGCCCCAGAAGAGGAGGAGGGCAGCTCCCCGCGAGGACTGTGACCCACCTGAACCCCTGACAGTGAAGAAGAGGCTGAGGGTCGTGGCAGAGCAGATGCAACTCCCGGGAGACCCGCCAAGGAGCAGCAGGGAGGCTACGCCGAGGGCAGGAGAAGCGGCGGGCATGACCCCGAGCCATCAGGTGATGCTGGGGCACGTGTCATCTTGGACGGGTGCTCTCGGGGCTAATGTCTGGTGTCCTCTGTTCACGGCTTGAAGGTGCAGATGAGTATCTTTTCCCAAAGGGGTCTGCATTCCACACTGAGTATCTGCAGACTGAGGTAAAGGATCCTTTGGGGACATACAGAGAGAATAGACGAATTGGGGAGAAAAACTGGTCAAAATTGTCACAGCGAATTTTGACAAGTTTCTCGGAACCTGGCTGAGTTATGCTTCTCTGCAGACGTGGGAAAGGTGCTGAGAGAAGGTGGCAGCTCAGTCCCGTGTTGCCGCTCCAGAACCCCCAGGCAGGAGCCCTGGGTCGGGGTGGTGTCTGCCCCAGGCTTTACTCGGTTAGACGATCCTGCGTGGGGATTTGCGCCCTGAGAACAGCCTACCTGTCGGGTTTGTGAGGCGGGGGGGGACACTCCCGCATGGAGCGAAGCTCGTAAATTCGGTTCCAGAAATTGCGATTCCCCCGTCCTGCTCCAGCAACGGTTGGTAAAGGACTGGGAAATCGTTTACAGCTCGAAAAGGGGGCACTTTTCTAGAATGCGCTGTCAGTGCTTGTTTTAATCCAATTTGACATGTACGACACTCAGATACAGTGATAGAAACTGAGGCCGACTTCCTTACTCAGTTTACCAGTGGAGAGGATTTCTTGTTGGGACGAAGTGCTTCCTGGCATCTTCTAAGACAACCGTTAACATTTCAGGCAGATTCTTAGCTCACTTTGAGTGTCTCTCTCCATGCTGAATTGTGAGAATTGCATTACTCATGAGTGGCACGTTGCGGATGTCTTGTCATTTTTAGGGAAGGTCCCTGCGCTCTAGACGTCCAAATAAAACCGAGGCAGAAGAGACAAGACCCGAGCCTGTTGTAACAGCGACAGAAAAGCCGAAAACAAAAAGAAGTGACAAGAAGCCCTTGAAGACGTCCCAAGAGACAGCATTACAAAGCCCAGAAGACGGGGCCAAGCATGCGGCATCTGGGAGCAAAGCCCGGGAAAGCAGAATGTGTCTGAGGTCTGCGAGACCCACTAAGATGCCCTCGCCGGACGTAGCCCAGGAGAAGCAAAGGGAGAAAAGAGTGGGTGTCCAGGAGAAGAAGCAGGAGGAAGAAGTAAGGCAACCTTCAGACCCCATGCGTTTGAGATCTAGAAAAATCACAGTCCCTCCTGGAGGAAAGACTTTGGAGAGTGAACCCCAGCAGAGGGTAACTCGGAATGCCAAGAGATGCGCTGAAAATATAAAAAAGGCAAGTAATTTACTGTTTTCCTTTTTATTTTTTTTATGAGCAACGAGTATCGTAATCTAATTTTTGCCCCATGTGCAAAAGCAAGGAAATATAACACATTGTCGGCTCCTAGTTATACTACTGTAGGAAGCATAAGTCTAAACCGTGTATTTTGTCGGCACTGTATTCAGCTGTCTCTGTCTTGGGAATTCTACTTCCGGTAGAAACTTGACCTTGTGAAGTCACCATCCAGGAAGAGCAAGGAATGTAGGTAGTCAGTACTTTCTGGCTGCATACAACATACTGAGTAAGAAAATTCTAGATAGCGGTCTTCAGTCTCCCCGTTAGTTCAGCACAACTTCCTAAAGCAGAAAGACGGTCCTGTCCAGTTTCCTCAGGAGTTCCTGTGGAAAAAGCTAGAAGGGAGGGAAGCTAGGTGTTTACACGGCAAGTGGTACGCCAGGCCTGCTCATGTCCTGTCACCTTGAGCGGCACGTAAGCCATCTGCCGCTGGAATAAATCCACAGCAAGATTAAATTCAGTCCGTGTTCTTCTGGGGAATACTCGATTTTCTTAGTTTAAAAGAAGGGGGGTCGGCAGCTCCCTAGTGCTATAAATTTCTCAGCATGTATTTCGAGCCTAGAGGCCAGTGCTGTGGGCCACAGCTCTGTTCCAACATCTGGTTTGGTGTTGGCCGTGAAGGCAGAAGGGATCTGTTTCCTGCGTGCCAGAATGGGGGTGATGGCACTGTCCGGGGTGTCTTTGGGCTCCCCTGCCCCCTTTTAAGCTGTGAGGGAGCAGGGACAGGGCAGGTGATCAAGATCACTTGGTGCGGTCACTGGTGGGGACTGCCTCTGGTGGGCTGTTGGGTTGGGGGAGGGGCAGAAGCAGACGCCCCCCTGGTTCTGAGAAAGAAGATGGTCTCCTGCGTTATCTGACTGTCCAGAGGGATGAGCCTCCTCCGGGTTCCTGGGACAGGCCCAGCAGGGTACCACCCCCATCGAGTATGGACAGATTGTGCACTTCACACGTGGGTTATTTGAGAAGACCCAAAACGTCCTGTCCTGTTTATATATTTGAATTCACTTTTTTGAGTGGTATTTTTTAATTAGTGAAAAAAATGCATATATTTATGTAGAAGTTTTCTTTTTTTATTATGTATTAACTTAAAAGTAAGTTACAAAGCTTCCTATTTAAATTTAAAGAAACAAATAGTAACAACATTTTAAAAAACCAAAGTGCCTTTCACATGACACATCTCAAAACTCATTTCCAACCTTAAAATTAATTTCCTCAAACTAAAAGCCTGCATCACACCTATTAAGGATTTGGGTTTTCGCAGAGTTGGTCATGAAAAATTGTTCTTTTCAATTACTTAAGAGCTCTATTTTCTTCCCAAACAGGATGATGACAATGTGTGTATCAAGAAATTAAGAACCAGAAGTCGTCAGGACAATGAAGATATTTAGCTGAGAAGTTGAAAAGGGAAAAAAAACTAATAAGTGCAGTCTAGTGATATATTCTAGTATGATATTTGGGTAAATTTGAAAGGGAATTTTGTAAATAATGCTATTCGGGTGTTTAAGGAAAGAATTTTCTCTTTCCGAGTGGTCTATTCATAAAGGCCACATGGAGGTCACGAAGAGGACTGTTGGTCTCATAAAGTGACAAAAATATCAAACTTGGCTTGGGGACGGGTGGGGGCGGGGATTGGGACTCAGAATAATGCAGTGAAATGAAGCCGTGACATTTGTCACCCCCGTCAGTCCTTATCGGCCCCATGCGCCAGCACTTGCCCCCGCTGCTCTGTAAATGCTTTCTGTTGGCCCGCGTCCCGCATCAGAATGTGAAAGCAGAGGCTTCTGTCCCTAGTCCCCAGCCCTGGGCAGGCACTCAGGAAACGCAAATGAACGGGCCGATGAACAAACTCCTCGGCTATTTTTTTACCGGGGCGGGGGTTGGGGGGGGGCACACTGGGTCCACTCACAAGGGCTGTTGGTCCCTTGTATGGGACAGTCCCATTCTCAGGGTTCTCGCCATGGAAGGGAACACGCGTGGGGCCTGGAGGAGGCTGGTGGCCCCAGCTGCAGGGTGTAGGGGTCACTGGTGTCTTACATTTTCCGCTTCAAGCATCTCTCTCTGACCTGGGACTGCTCACATCTGAGAAGGCACCCAGCGCTGAGTCCCAGGGCCGTGGGCCAGGGTGCCCCTCAGCTCTGAATGGCCATAGCTCTCCTAGCTTTTCACATTTTCCTCATGTTTTCTGAGCTCTCCTGAACCTGCGCCCACCAGCGCTTTCTCTGACTGCCCCTGCTGGCCGCCTTCCTTCCCAGCACGCCCCCTTGTTCAGGAAATAACCAAAACCCTCTTCCAAAAGAAGGACTGTGATTCCCGCGCCGTCTACGCGAGCCACGGCCCCTTTGGTCTCAGACCCAGACGGCCACGTGCCGGGCATCTCCACCTCCACATTCCACTGTCCTGTTCCTCTCGTGTTCCCTGGATGAGAAGACAGCACACCGTCCCTCTGGTGCCCTGTCCAACCAGGTCGAAGTGGGGTTGGAAGACCAGGTAGGGGAGCTGTCCCCTACAGCGTCCCCGTCTGTCCACTCTGACACCATTGTGTCTGGCGTGGAGCCAGGTGCTCGTAATAAATGTCTGCTGAATGAATGCCTCAGTCTAGGCGCTTCTCTGGGTCCACGGATGTTGCCCTTGCCTACCCAGCTGCCATGATCACGTTCCGAAGAGCATTGTCGGGGGTCACACGGTTGGGGGGAGCTGGGGGGAGGGCGCTCCGGAAGGCTCCGCGGGGCGGGTGGTGGCTGAGCCGGGCCAGAGGGTGGGGGATCTTGGGCAGCAGCAGAAGGGGCAGGGGAGTTGAGGAAGCGCAGCCCTGAGGAGAAGCTCTTTATTTGAATGTGCGAGTCACGAGTGTGTCCTTGTGGCAGCAAAATACAAGAAAACGTAAAATAATGGGATTTTTCTATGATTAAGCTGTTCTGCCAGTACTCCAGATTCCGTAGTAATTATGAACCTTGCATAGAGAAAATTTTCAATTAGCCACATGCCTGGGGAATGGGACGTACTGGTTAATTAAAAAACCCTTTAGGGTTCAGTTCTAACCAAAATCTCACTGCGGTACACCGGCTCATCCCCTCGCCTCTGTGACGGTGCAGTGTTTCGAGAGCACAGGGCGGCTCTCATCTTTGAGGCCTATAGATGCTGGCTTAGGAAAGCTCCTTGGAGCCAGTGTTTGACAACGCCCGTCCGAGGACACACGTTTCACTTGGCCTTTTGGGGGACAGCATCAGACAGCTGGTAACCAACCAGGCCAACTTCCTGCCTGAGAACAGGGTGGGAGACAGAAGTACCTACTTGCCAGGTGGTTGGTAACGTCTCCAGGCCCGAGATTCCAAGTGAACAACATCCCGTCTGATAGAAAGTTCTCGGGGAACAGAAACTATTCTTTTTTTTTTTTTTAAAGATTTTATTTATGTATTTATTTGACAGACAGAGATCACAAGCAGGCAGCGAGGCAGGTAGAGAGAGAGGAGGAAGCAGGCTCCCCGCGGAGCAGAGAGCCCGATGCCAGGCCCGATCCCAAGACCCGGAGATCACGACCTGAGCCGAAGGCAGAGGCTTTAACCCACT